GAAGCTTGTTGATTACTGATTCAATTTCTTTGGTAGTAATCAGTCTGTTCAGAGTTTCTGTTTCTTCTTGGTTCAGATTTGACTTGGTAGATTGTATGCTTCTAGAAATTTATCCATTTCTTCCAGATTGTCGAATTTGTTGGCATATAGTTGCTCATAGTATTTTCTTACAATTTCCTGTATTTCTGTGGTATCTGTTGTCACTTCTTCTCCTTTTTGAAACCTGGTGACACACTGACATTGTCTCCACCCGACACCATCCCCACCCACAGTCCTCTAAATGGAGTTGGTTCCTTCTCATACATCCCATGTCTATCAAGCCATAAAATGGGTCAGCATCATCCTTACTCCCCATTGCCACTTTCAGACCATTACTATCCTCCTTCCTATAAAAACCCTTCCTCCCTTGAGTTCCATGCATGGAACCATATCATCCTCTCATCTCCCTTGTTGGCATCTGGTTCAGCCTTCTCCTCTCTACCTCCTGTCCTCATTCCAGATGACCACTATTTCCACAGGGTAACTCACAAAGCACCCTATTCTCTGAGCTCCTTGACCTTTTCTGCCATGCCACCTCAGTAACCCACTTCATTTCAGTGATCCACTCCTGCTCTTGCATGCCCTACCCAGTCATCTGCAGGGACTGCACACTCCCTTGAACTACTTATCCAAACTTCTCTCTCTGGTAAAAATTGCCCCTCCTGACACCTCACTTGCTCAAAGACTTCTATAGCAACTTTCACTTTATCTAGATCTCTGATCCCTATTTTCCCCTCAAGCTAGTAGCAACCTCCTTTCTTTACTCTGTACTTACTCAGTTTGATTCCTTAGGTTGGCTTGCAGAAATCTCCAACTTCCCTTTCCTTCTGTCCTTCCTCTTACCCAGTGGGCAAAACATAACCCTGAATGAACCCATTTACCTTTTCTGTGCCTATATTCATTAAAATTGAGTGTTGCTAGAGAAAAAGCACATACTCAGGCACACAAGTGTATTATATATCCACAAATAATGCCTCCCTGGTAAGTTCACTCTCCCATTATCAAATTTTACCTAATGTGTGACTATAAGGAATGCCTTTTGTCCCATTGAAATCATCCTTCAGAAAAGCATATTATGGGTCACTTTCTCAATTACTTAATTTTGAAGAACAAAGTACTAGTTAGGAATAATATATTAGTCTGAAACACTTGCCAATGATAGATATTTATATAAATGACCTAGCAAGACTAGAAAATAAGAATGGGAGAAGGAGCTGGGGACCATAAAAGTAAATACAGATCAATAAAACAAATGGTTGGTTGTGAAAATAATGAATATTCATGTGGAAATGAGTGAGGAAAAAATCATTCTAATAATATAGAATTAGATATTTATGGCTTAGGATGAAATTTCCAATGACAGCAATAAACAGTTCTATAAAGTTCCTTTTCAAACGACATAAAAAATGAAGATGATGTGTTTGAAAACTATGTTTAAGTCTCACAATGTGGCTCTATGATAATGAAGATTGATGTCACAGACACATGTTAAGAGCATTTCAGTTGAACACTTATTCTTTTTTCTAATTATTTGTTTCTTTTTTTATCAGTTACAGTTGACATTCAATATTATTTAATATTAATTTCACGTGTACAGTGTAGTGGTTATTAGTCTTTTCAGTCTGACATGTCATTCCCGACCAGTACATTGTTCTTCAAAATTAAGTATTTTATATAATTAAGACATTTATATAATTTATGCAGTGATCCCTCTGATTAGTCTAGTTTTAAGACCCAAAACCATAAAACTCCTAGAAGACCACTGATTTTTGAAACACTCGTTTCCTTAGATTCTGTGATCCCTCATTCTCCCATTCCCCCTCCCCATCTTTCTGGCAGCTCCCTCTTCAGTCTCCTCTACCGGGTTCTCCTTGTGCTCTATTCAGTTTCTAAATGTTGGGGTTCTAAAGCCCAATCATGGGTGTTTGCTCCCCATGCTACACATTCTTCTGAGGTAAGTTCTAGTCCCATAGCTTTGAAATCCATTTCCATACCTGCCAACATACAGATGTATACTTAACAGCCTCTGTTCTGAGCTCCAGATACCTACAGCCATCTTGCTCTTTGACATCTCAATTTGGATGTCTCACAATGATCTCAAACCTAATGGGCCCAAACCCAAACACTTGATCTTATTCCTTAAATTTGCTCTTCCTTCACCTTTTCCCACCTCCTTTCATGTAACTGCTCAAGCCATAAACCAATCATCTTTGACATACCCTCTCCTGTCTACCACAACCCATACCCAATTCATTACCAAGTTCTTACAATGTTACCTCTAAAACATATATTAAAACCATCCACTTCTCTTTCTCTACTTTCATCATTCTAATTCAAGCCACCAAAATATCTAATCTTAGCACTAACTTGTTAACTCGTCTACTCTTGTCACCCCATACTTCACTCTCCAATTAATCACCAAAGGGATTCTTTTAAAACATTAATTTGATGATGTCACTCCCCGGTTAAAATCTGTCAGTGGCTTCCCACTGCACTTAGGATAAAATTCTTTGTAACATGGTCTCTGATCTAATTACTACCTACCACTTTGCATTTATCCAGAGCCACCTTCTTGCCTTGCTTTCCCTTGCTCTCTGAACTTCAATCATACCAGCTTTCTTTTAGTACCTGTAATATGCCAAACTTCACCCTACTTAAAACTTTTTCTCCAACTCCTACTCTTCCTTCAGGTTTCTGCTTAAATGTTATTTCCTTACAAATGCATTCCCTGACTGGCCCAATCTTAATTAGGTTTCCATTATTTCCTCTCATGACACTCCATTCTTTTCCTTCTGAACTTAACACAAATTGATAGCATTTATCAGATACTCCCTTTTCTAGTTCCTACTCCAGGAGAACTCACCTCTCCTTGGCAACCTAAGAAACAGGAAGAGTGGTTCTTTTATAGCAAGAGGCTTACACTGTCATTACAATCACAATTTGACTCACAAGAATTGCCGAATGAGTGAATTTCCATCTTCCAGTCTAAAATCCAATCCTTGCCCTGATACTGAGAGGCTCAGCAGATGGATCAATACCACCCAGAACACCTGACTGTCCAAAGTAGACTAATACATCCAGTGCCTTCTATTAACAGGTCATAGTAACATGAAGAGCAGTTTAGTGCCTTGGACTACCTTATTTCGTGCCTGCATAGTCTTTCTAGTTTTATTTCAAGTATGTACAAACCATATTATGCTTATATAATTTAAATTATATACATACTCGTACACACATACATATTAGACACTAGCTGTTTATTCCATTGTTCCTTACACTATGGGCTCTGATTTTTTAGCACATACCTGTTTTCCTCCAGATTGTTAAGTCTACTTATTTTCAAAAATTTAAACATACTAATATATTATATGATCTATTTTATTTTTTGTCCTAAATTTCCCAAGATTACCAAGGTTATTTCCTATAAAATATGTGTTTATTATCTGTGCAACACATTAAAACTGTAAATTCTATGAAGTCAGGGATTATTTCTTTGTTCACTATAATTCCAGTACCTAGAACAATGTCTGGCACATAATATAAGGCATTAATAACTACTGTTAAAAGAATACATAAATCTATATCTATCCTTATCTTCCCTACAGCGAATCTCAAAGGTTAAGCTGTCCTTTCTAAGAATACATCCTCTGGTTCTCTTCTCATTCCATTCAATCTCTCCCTCTCTATAAACAATTTTCCCTGAGCACATAAATATGCTGACAACACACAGGTCAAGTCTATTTTTTTAAAATGAGAGTTAAAAAAAGAAAAACTTCCCCTCACCTCTCATCCACTCCCCACTTTATTTACTATTTCCTCCCGCCTAGTTTTCATAGCTAAACTAATTAAAGGAAGTATTTGTCAACCAACTATAATCTGCCATTCACCCTTACCAACTGCTCTAATCAAGACCCTAATTATTTCTTAATTGTGATATCCATTAAACATTTTCAGCTCTTTACCCTGTTTGGTGTCTCTGTAGTATTTGACAAAGCTAAATACTCCTTTTCTTGAAATTCTCTCCTCCTCTGGCTTCTGTGATACCACATTCTCCTCGTTTTTCTTCTACCTTTCTGAATTTTTTCTTAGTGCTTCTTAGTTTTCTCTCTGGGCAGCTCTTTCTCCGCTCAACCCTAAACATTATGGTCCCCCAGGGTTTTTTATTCAGTGCTCTTCTCTTTTCACTCTACGCTTTCTTTCTTCTTGGAAAATTTCATCCATTCCTACTGATGCAGATGATTCCCAAATCTCTCTCTCTAACACAGATCTCTTTCTTGAGCTCTAAATCTCATCACAGACCCCCTAAGTTGTCCAAAGCTGAATTCATCATCCTAAACTTGCTCTTTCTACTATATTCTCCATTTCGGATCATACTTCTTTCAGCCATCCAGTCACTCATGTTAGAAAATAGGATCATCCTAGAGGCCTCATTCTTCCTCAGCTCTCAAATCTAACTGGCAACCATATCATACTGATCCTGCCTCCTAAAGATCTCAATTTTGTCTCTTCCTCTTCACTGCTACTGTCTGTCTTCCTTGTGTGGGTAACTATTTCTATGGGTCAAGTACTGTTCCCAAGAACCCATCTTCCACATTAGTGACAGAGTGAGCTTTCTAAAATGCAAATTTTATCAAATATTCCCTACTCAATGTCAATCGTTCCTCTTTACCTTTAAAATAAAATCCAAATTCCTTAGCTTCACATATAAGGCCCTTTATGATCTGGGCTTTGCATGCCTCTAGCCTTATCTCCCCAACCCCTACAACCTCTTATTTCACAACATACCTAAAAGCTACAACCATCAGCTCTGCCAATAATTATAACTCTGAACCACTTCCCATTCTCACCTTGGGTCACTTGAGCAAATTATACTTCAAGATCTGACTCAAGCAGGGCCAGCAGGGTGGCACAGTTGGTTAAGGGCACGAGCCCTGAGAAACAGGGTCGCCAGTTCGATTTCCACATTAGCCAGTGAGCTGCGCCCGAGCTGGGCTGTCACTGAGCTGCCAACAGGCGACCGGATGACTCAGCTGGTGAGTGCACATGCTCTCAACAACAAGATTGCCAGTTTGACTCCTGCATGGGATGGTGGACTGCGCCCCCCTCCCCGCCCCCAACCCCCCCAGCAACTAGATTGAAAGCCACAACTGGATTTGGAGCTGAGCTTGTGCCCTCCACAACTAAGATTGAAGGACAGCAACTTGACTTGGAGCTGATGGGCCCTAGAAAAACACAATGTTCCCCTTCCCCAATTCCCCAATAAAATCTTTTTTAAAAAGACGTGGCTCAAGCAATATCTTTTCTTGGAAACTTTTCCAGGTCTACTCCCAACTTGTAGCTTTCTTGTCTGTCTTCCTCAGAAGCCTATCTCCCTCTTGGCAGGCTTATATTCATTGCCTCTACGCTTACTCAGCACCTCTTAAAATACGAGGTATATAGTAGAAACCAAACAACTTTGGATTATATGAATGAAATAAATCTTTCTCTTCCTCAGCAGCATACCTTCTAACAAGTAGCTGTGAGAGATTATCATCTTTGCAGTTTTCCCTCTAATATTCTTACCTTTGCCTCTTCCCTCCATCTCCATTTTCAATCCCAAGTAGTTTTTCCAAACCATGGCTGAACTCACCAAAACCACTTTCTTCTTCTTTTTGTTGATCCATGATCTGAGAATGAACCTGAACCATTTTTTTTGATTGGTCTTTCTGTCTGTGCTCATGTCCACTTTGGGCTTTTTTCATTTTCTCATCTTCTGGCAAGATGAAACAAAACATTGTAGGGTAGATGAGGAAGAGATTTTTTTGTAGATAATAAAGTAGGAAGAAGGAAGACTCAGAGCATGATAACTTAAAGCCTTGGGCTGAAAATGCTCAGCCTGCTCACTGTTCCATTCCCTAATTTCATGGATTAAGTACTTGAACCAGATGTAAAAATATATCTGACTATACTTACGAGCTTCCTTCTTTCTTTTACTTAAGGAGAGTCTATTGAATTTCTTCTTGGGGGGTGCAGGAGCTGGCTGGCCTGGCTGAGATGTCTTTATCTCAGGGATTACTCCATCCTCCTGAGAGGCTGAAATCTCTAGAATATGAGGCACCATTACCCTCTCTCTGAAAATAAGATTTTTTTTTTAATGAAAAGGTAAACAGGAGCAATTTGTAGTATCCTTTTTTTGAAAAAAATCCAAGGATAAAAGTTAGAAGGATAGAAGAACCTTAGGCTCTCTAAGGCTTCCCAAGGTCATTTTATCCATTTTCTTGCCTATTTTTCCCAACTCAAATAAGTATCTTTCCTGAGCTGAGAGAACTCTATAGAGATATGAAAAATGACCAGATAGACAAATAGATAGATAGACCATTTACGAATATTAAGTCCACCCTGTGATCAACTTGCTTTACAGGGATAAACTTACCCATCAGCATTATCATTATCAGTAGTGGAAGCAATTCCTGGTTCCTTGTCTAACTGGGTGCATCTTAGGGGCTGGGCACAGGAAGTCTCTGTAAAATCAAGGCTAGATTCCATCCCTCCCAAAACAAAATACTATAAGCAGAGAAGCAATTAAAGAAAACAACCACCCATTAGTTCCAAACTGTAACCTTTCATTTAAAATGCCTCCCACCTGTTGCCTAGAAGAGCCTACTTTTGGACTTTTGTCATATCATAAAACTTTAAGTCTTTAAATTCTCAGGAAAAACTACAAATCTATGTCCTTCTGCAAGCCTTTCCAGATTGATCTGCCTCATTCCAGGATGGCCAGGTAATGTTAATTTTATTGTGAATACTGTGTTTTATATCATCTTTTCCTCAAACTTTCTCTAGGAATAGAAGTACATGTAAGACTTGGTGAAAATGTCAGTCCATTCTCCTTAGCCTCATGACTTTCTAGAGAGGGTCTCAAGGACTATGCTATAGAGTTCTTTATTCTAAAAATCAAATCCCTGAACATATGTTAAAACAGTATTCAAGGGCCGGCCGAGTGGCGCGATGGTTAAGAACTCGCTTGGGATGCTAGAGGGCCCCGGTTCGGATCCCACATATGAGGGCCAGTGACACTGCCCTCTACAGCTAAGATGCTGAACAACAGCTCAACCTGGA